TGAAGGTTTTTTCCAACCATAATGATTCTGTGATTACCAGAGCATTGTGCTCCCTGTGGTTGAGAATTTCTGATCCTGAACTGCATGCAGGATGACATGCACAGAGGCAACTGCATGGACATCACAGGAAACTCATGACATTTGCTTTCAGGTCACCTCCATGACCAGGAAGAGTTCACCCATGGCACCCATGTACCACCTCCCATGCAGTGTCCCACGTTTCAGCACATGTTACTTCCCAGCACTTCTATAACCATCTATTATTCAGCCACTTGATATCAGGCTTAATATAAAGCCAAGAATTCCAAACTGAAGTTTAATTTTTTTATGCATCTTATTTAAGGAATCTTACAACATTTTTAGCCACTTAATAGGTATCTATTTTAGTATTCTTGTTTGCTCAGTACTCTGCCTTGTAACACACAGTTAAGCAAAGCTTAACCAAATGTATAAACACATCTTAGCATCTTCTTGCTGGATATTGGTAGCACGGGAAGTACCTGAGCACCCTATACCCTACAGTCTGAGTCTATAGCAGGGACAGGCCCTGGGGTGTATCCTTAACCACCACATTTAGTCCTCTGAGCAGTGCTGGTGGTGGCTCTCACTGCTATTTGCATGGAGTGCGTGGCTCTGAGTCCTGAAAGCTTTTCTGTGCAACAGGGTCTTCTAAACAGAAGTGGAACTCACCTGGAGGAAGATTTGCTGCAGCCTCTCTATACAGCTCTTGTACCAAGGGGTAAAGACATCAATTCCACCAGTTTCGCAACGCACTAAGTGCTCAGTTAACAACATAATGAAGCGCTGAAGAACAGGAAAAACATCGATTCATTCTTGTCAAACAAAAACACGTTCCTAACCTCAGACAGGATAGAACACAGGGGAAAGAGGCTCTGAACAGCAGTGTTGGGATAATTACTGACCCGCAGGACACTGAATGCAGTAACCACCCACAACCAGGTCTCCTCATGCCTGTTCAACAGTTGCATGATGGCAGAAACCTCCTCTGTGCTTCAACCCAAACAAACCCTGCTCTGCAGAGCCCACAGTCCTTCCAGGGGGGTATCTGAACTGATTCTTTCCCACAATAAGCCTCTCGGCCCCTCCTCACATAGGATCACAGAGTGGTTAAGGTTGGAAGGGACCTCTAGAGATCATCTAGTCCAACCCCCCTGCTCCAGCAGGGTCACCTAGAGCACGTGGCACAGGACTGCGTCCAAGCGGGTTTGGAAGATCTCCAGAGAAGGAGACTCCACAACCTCTCTGGGCAGCCTGTTCCAGGGCTCTGTCACCCTCATGGGCAAGAAATTTTTCCTCAAGTTCCTGTGGAACTTTTGGTGTTTCAGTTTCCAGCCATTTCCTCTAGTTGTGTCAGTGGTCACCACTGAAAAGAGGCCAGCACCATCCTCCTCACTGCCTCCCTTGAGGTACTTATAGACACTGATCAGGTCCCCTCTCAGCCTTCTCTTCTCCAGGCTGAACAGGCCCAGCTCCCTCAGCCTCTCCTCGTAGGGCAGATGTTCCAGGCCCCTGATCATCCTTGTAGCCCTGCGCTGGACTCTCTTCAGCAGCTCCACATCCCTCTTGAACTGGACACAATACTTTAAATGTGGCATCACCAGGGCTGAGTAGAGGGGCAGGACCTCATCCAGAGGAGATTCCCAACGTACAAGCAACACTGTAGGTTTAAGTTTGCAGCACAGCGCACAGGCGAGGCAAGTCCTCCCCCATTGTTACCTGGAATATGACGAGGAAGAGATTCT